GTTACGAAATCAGACACAAAAACGTACTTTCTTCGAATAAACATACCTTTTTCTCGACGTATTAGGACTTTTGCCCCAAAATATAGTTTGTCCAAGAGAGTGCTCCAAAGTTTGTACCCCTTAATGTTGATTTACGTTTGCCTATTTCGCTATATCTCGAGAACTCTTTAAATGAGCAGAAAAATTTCAGCACACATTTATAAAATTCGTTTACCCAAAGATAATTCCACGCAAAGTATAACTTTTAGTAAGTATTTACTATTTGTTATTGTTTTATTTAAAAACGGGCAAAATTCAAAAATACAAAATTTGGCGAAAATTACAAGGCAAAATAATTTGAATAAAATCGGTCGAATAGATCTTGAGAAATTGAATTTTAAATATCTGAAACCTTTGAGATTCAATTTCCAATGAACTATTCAACCGATTTTGCTCAAATTTCGTATTCTGCAGTGTAAAATTACATTACCTCCGTTTGTTGGTAATCAGCCCTATCGACTAATCTCTCAATACTTATCTCAAGTAAATACCCAGATGCAAGAAACTAAGTGGCTCCCTTAGGTTGACTTAGATGGTGCTATAAAATTCAGGTTGTTTAAGGTATAAGCAGCTAATTTGATTACCATCTTTTTTGTGGTGATTTGACTCTTTTATTTGAATATGGTAAAATATTAAAAATTAAATAATTTGCTATTTAACTATCATTTTATATTCCGAGAAATCTTTACCAGAGAAGAGTGCTCCGCAATTTTTCTACGCAACGAGCACATTAACGATCTCCGTAAATCTCAAAGTTTTGTTGCTGCAATAATTTGATATTTTAGATAGATCACAAAAGATAACACAAAATATCTTATTAGATATATAATAATTAGATAAATACGAGGGTTGTAAATTAAATAGTGGCAACTTAACCTTGAAACTCACAGAAGGGCGGGCATGCGCAAATAGGATATGGGAACGGTGAGGTGGCGCTGTTGTCGATGTGTAGAGTGCAAAATACAGTCGTTCTGCTTAGAAGGGTAGTTGTTGTGTGGCGTTAAAGTGAGGAGTTTCGTTTCTATCGCTCTAAAGCATGTTTTCAAAAGGTGATCAGCTGTCGTCGCTTAAAATCGAGGTTGCCCGTGGTAAAAATGCAACAGAATGCTAACGAGGATTAGTGGAAGCCTGTGGGGTAAATGCTTTACCGTATTGGACAGTAGCACGATGGGTTCAAGTATCTCGTCTTTTTCGTCATTAAGCCTTTTGAAAACATGCTTTAGAGCGATGGAAACGAAACTCCTCACTTTAACGCCACACAACAACTACCCTTCTAAGCAGAAAGACTGTTTTTTGCACTCTACACATCGACAACAGCGCCACCTCATCGTTCCCATATCCTATTTGCGCATGCCCACCCTTCTGTGAGTTTCAAGGTTAAGTTGCTACTATTTAATTTACAACCCTCGTATAATACATAGACATCACAAAAACGCTTCTGTTGTTCCACCAAAAAATTTTATTTTCAAATAAACGAAGAGCTTACTAGGTATAGGACCCAAATTTCTTCCAAAAAGATCCCTTGGTAATCAGTAGAATAACTGATTTTGATAAATTATCTTAGCTGTAATATACAATAATCGACTATATCATGAGGATTTTTTTTTTCGTTCTCTTTTCGTATAATGTAAACAAATTTTCATTTCTTTTCCTCAAAACTTCTCCCTAAACTGTTATAAGTTCATTTCTATTCGCAATATATTTATTAAACCATATTTTGCAGTTTTTTTACGAAGTGGAAAAAATATATTACTTAGTCAAACACAGAAGCAAAATCACAACCATGGAAAAGACTGAAGAAATTAAAAATGAAATTTAGATTTATACTTGCATAAATATTAACATCGTGTCACAATAGTATCAATATTTCCACAAAAAAAAATATTTATTGAAAGTAGACGGTTTAGATACGCTATCTACCATAAAACAAGAAGACTGTGAAACTTTGCCAGTCTTTTGGAATTATATATAAATAAATCGAGATAACCTGAAGAGCTAACTTTAAATTTAATAACTCCAAAATTAGTTTGAAATTCCAAATAAAAGGCAAAAATCTTTAGACATACTTATTTAAATACGTGGGCAGTAAACAATTATAATTTTGCTGCTATTAGTTTTTCCTAGAAACAAAATAAAACTGAAACGTAGTAAAAAAAAATACTGATTTTTCTCAAAACTCATTTAAAATTCAAAGAAAGTGAGATGCTCATTTTCATATTAAAAATTATACGGCTATAAAAAAAAGAATAATTCTTCTGCTAACAGTTCTCGATAAACTAAACTATTCAACTTTAAAAAAAGACAAAAAATGACATGCCCGCAATAATAACATTTTAATTAGAGAATATAATTATAGAAATCTTCCTTTTTCAATTAATTTAGAAACTTTTGAAATGCTAGACTTTAATTTCATTTCAATTGAATTCGATAGAAAATTGAATATATTATAGATAGACAGGTGACAGACATTCGTCAATTGAAGTATTAACGGTTAAGGAATAATGCACACAGCAAATACATCCCAGATAAGCTAATTTCTAATTCGTTTCCATAGCAACTGAGTGTTACGACGATTCGTAGTATGTTATTTAATCAACAGTTCGATGTAAGTTTCTTGTGAAATTTTCTCGCCTTTATGAGTAAATATGACACAACTATTCGGTAATTCTATAAATATCGAAAACGAGAATGGAGTTCCAAAATTTAGCAGGTACCTGAATAAATTGTAAATAAATAGATGAATACCATAGGATTCAATATACAATTTTACGTAAATTTATATTTTTATCTGAAATAAAAAAAAAGACAATACAATTTTATATCTTCAGATAATATCGTTTGCTTATTTTTACAGCTAGGATTAGTAAATTCGTTAATTTATCTAGCAGTAGAGAATAAATAGATGGTGAAAACTACTAGAATTAGTAAAGGAGAAGTGTTAAAATAAAAAGAAGAGAACAATTTGTTCTTAAGCATGCGCAAAACGTTTGCTCACTTTATAAGCTAAATATTGTTTACCAATTGTAACAAAAATGTTTTCTTGTCTAGTCTTTCATTTTTTGTTGATTCATGGATGAATTTCAGTATCTGAATTTTAGCTTAATAATGCCCACGCACATGATTTCAAGACTGTACAAACATTTTTTATTGCGCAAACTGGTTTCGCTTCTATCATGGCCAGATTATTCCTCATACATGTCGTTAGATATATCATTCCTCGAATATGCAGTCAATTGAGCTTTTGAATAATTCCATCGGTCAGGGACTCGCTCGTATAGCTCGTCGGGGCACACAATTAGACTGAACTTTGACGTCAAGTCGAAGCCATGTGGAAGTTACCATTCCCCAGAATTCCATCCAGAGAGTCGTGGTGGCTCAGGGGATAGAGCCTTCCAATGAGGTGAACCGGATTCGAATCCGAGCGAAGGTTGGTCGATATGAAATCCGCTCCCGTGGCGTACCGAACCACGATGATGACGTAAAATATCCTCAGTGGTCGACGAATCATAGTTTAGAATCTCATCGCCGTCGGGCTAACCGTGTTAGGGTTTCGTGATTTACCTCTCCCTGCAATGCAAATGCGGGTTAGTTCTCTCAAAAAGTCCGCCACAAAAACAAATGTCTCCTAATACTTGAGTTCCCTTGTCTTCTGGATTGGGTTCAAAATTACAATGTAATGGAATTGAACATGAATAGTCTTAAACCCAAAATTGGCCCGGTTGTTCAACGACGGTTATAAAATAAAATTACATTCAGAGCCTGTATGATTCAATCTCACGACGTGTACAGGATCTCATTGCTCCAGCGTGACGGACACACAAATTACTGATTTCGATGCTTTTTTTTTTTTCCTTTTTCGATCATTTATTATTTATTTGTACCCCTATACCCCAAAATTAACGAAATAAATTTCATTAATTTTGGACAATACCTTCATGGTGTTGCAATTTTCGCAAACATTAGTGTAATACCAGGGGTCTGTTTAGAAGAACGGACCCTTCACAAAATATCTTTTCATAAAAAAAATATTTTTATTTAAAAACGGACCCTTCACAAAATAATTTATCTTTTAATCAGACAATTCACAAATTTGTTTATCTTCATTGTCTTATTGTCTTGTTAATCGAATAAACCCTTCCCAGGAAGAGGGGGGGGGGCGAAGACAGATGTAAACAAACTAAGTTTAGTCTCCTGCAGACGCTTCTTCCTTTATTCGTCCGAAATGAATACTGCGTTCGACAGTATAGGCTAAATATCAAATAATTGTATGTTTTATCTCTAATTTAATAGCAGCAATTGCTGTTTATTTTTTAAAATTTAATTTTTTATTATTATAATTTTACAGTATTGGGTATAATCTTGTACGTCTTTCTCCAATTTAAAAACTCCTTTAAAAGGTTTTTTGCAATAACAAGACCCTATTTGCACAAATTCACAAAAGCATGACACCAGTTGAAAGAACGTGACTCATCGTTTATTTTATATTCACAAATTACGAGTCATTTTTTCACAATTTTACAAAAAACGGACCTTCCACAAAATGTCTGGACAGACCCCTGAATACTGATTTACATACTTAAAAGAAAAAGAACAAGAATGAATTCGAATGAATGACATAGGAAAAAAATTAGAAAAAAGAAAGAGATGCAAATAAAAGTAAATTAATGAATAAATAAAAATTATAAAATAGAAAATATGTGGAGAAAAAATATATATTTCCAGGTAACATAACTTTTAGGATAAATTAATCCATCGAAAGGTGCAGAACCAATTTAGAAGAATTCCTTTAAAGCACAAAATTGCTTTTACATTGGAATTTTATCATTTTTATTATACGATTTCATTAATTATTACTATTCATTATTATTCATTTATTATTTTAATGGTTAGCCAAAAAATATATCAAGAGTAAAACTAACATTTTACTGATATTCTGAAAATAATGTTCACACAAAATACACAAAATAATGCAAAATAAATGTTCTAATGACACAAAATAATGTTCTAATATTTTTAGTATCCATTTGACTTACCTCCATCGGAGTACTAGTTGCGGACATTGCAGTAAAACCTACAATATCACTAAAATATATCGTCACAGCATCGAACGATTCTGGTAATACAGCCTCTCCCCTCAATAGCTGAGTTGCAACAGATCTGCGAAGAAAGAAAAAAATCTTAAACATGCGGCTAGTTTAGTAAGTGGCTGATTAAATAACAAGGCTCTTGCAACGCGGAAGGATAACTGAAAAATTTGATATTTTTTCAGCTCATTTCAAAAAATCTCATCTCAATAAAAAAAAAACACCAATTGTTGCTTAATTAGCCTAATTTACTTCTAAAAGGTAAAAGAAATTAAGCCTAATTTATTTCACATTTTATTACCGAGGTTGAACAGCCGACACAATTCTGAATTTACGACTACCAATATTCAACATTTATGGAATTCAACAGAGAAGCTAGTTTGGCGTACTGTGCATAAAAATGTAATATTTGCAAGTCTGGATTACAAAACTATCATAGTATTTTTGATGCATTGCTTGACGAAACATCCTCAAGTTATTTTAGGACAGGATTAGACAAGTGTTCCCAAACTTTATACGACGTATTGTATTTCTCCTATCGAAGACGATCATTAAGAACCATCAAGATATATCAGGTCGTAATCAAACCAGTTTTCTTAAAACTTTTTTGACGAACTGTATTACTTCTAATGAAGCGGTTATTACGGAACAAATATCCTCAAGATATTTTAGGACAGGATTAGACTAGTGTTCCCAAACTTCATACGCCGTATTTTATTTCTCCTATCGAAGACGATCATTGTGGACCATCAAGATATTTTAGGTCGTAATCAAACTAGTTTTCTCAAAACTTTTTTGACGAGTTGTATTTCTTCTAATGAAGCGGTCATTACGGAACATCCTCAAGATATTTTAGGACAGGATTAGAGTAGTGTTCCCAAACTTTTGACGACGTATTGTATTTCTCCTACTGAAGACGATCATTGTGGACCATCAAGATATTTTAGGTCGAAATCAAACCAGTTTTCTCAAAACTTTTTTGACGAGCTGTATTTCTTCTAATGGAGAGTCCATTACGGAATATCCTCAGAAAATTTTAAATCATCATTAGATCGTGTATCCAAAGTTTAATTGACGTATTGTATTTCTTCTTTCGAAGATGGTAATTACGAAGATGTTAATTTATTACTTATGCGTAACTTAAGCAATGAAAATAATTTATATATTATTCACTGAACTTACAGCATTGAAAGGAAAAATTATTCAAGTAAAAGATTTACAAAATTAAAATTTAAGCATACAAGAATTTACTAATTTTACTGTTTATTGAGCAAAAAAGTTCAGTTTTTCAGTTTGTCGCGATCAAAAGTTCAGTCAAAAAAAGTAAAATAAAACATGTTTTAATTAAATCGAAATCAATACTACTTCATTTTATTATATGACAGAAACATAAGTAAAGTAATTATAAATTTTATTTTGAAAGTTAAAAGTAAAAAGGAGCAAAATATGAAAAACAATATAAATTGTAAGAAATGAAAATGTTTTTTGAATTGTTTTGTTTGTCTCTTTTAGTTCGATTACTTCTTGTAATTAATTTTGAAAGTTTTAAAAGGTAATAGGAAATGCAATTAGAGAATTAAAAGTAGCTTAAATTCTTCTGACAATAGATAAAAAAATTTTACTTAGTTTTCTTTTGTTTTATTTAAAGAATATTAAAAATAGATTCATCGAAGAAATAGTAATTGAAAAGTAATTAGATGTAAAATTAAAAAAATCCAATTCATATTTCTTAAACCGAAAAAAAAATTTAAATAAAAGAAATATAAAAGGCAGTAAGAAAAACATTATTTAAAGTTTTCTTTGAAACGTGCATAAAACTCATACTCACAAAATAAAAATACATGATTCTAATAAGAATAATAATTCATTAACTAATTTTGCCTTATTGATCTTAATTTAAGCAAGGAAGAGAAAATGTGGTTAATGCAAGAATGGAATTATTGCTTAAATTTCTCGAAAAATATTAGAAAAAAGTATTTTTCTGTTCTTGATATAGCATTGATTCTACAAACATAATTTTCTACTCATCACTATGTTTCTTTCTCGTTGATTAAGTTAGAACCTTTTAAATCCAATAAAAAATTGGTAATTATTAATATATAAAATGGCAATATTTTCTTTATTTCACATTATCATACAAACGTAATTTCAGTACAAAATCAATCAACTTTTAGTTACGTTAAGTTAACTTTTCAAGACTAGACTGATTGAACCATTAAAAATGGTGCGTTTTAAGCTGACATGCCCTTAACAAATCAAATGCGAGATAAAAAAAAACGTCTACTTTTGTTTTGCTATCGAAGAAAGTAGTCTGCAAGAAACAATATTTATTATTCTTTCATCAGTTTCTTTAAATGTGAACATAAAGGTGCATATTTGTTACGATTTTTAGATATCAAATTAAATAACTCTTATTACTTGTCAAATGATTATTGTTGTTAGTATTTGTTATTATTATTAATAAGAAAACGAGCAGAAAGTAGGCTATGCAGTGTCGTTTCAAGAGTTGGCGATGTTGATATACATTTGCGCTGGGAGATTGGCATCCATTTGGAGTACGCATAGATGTAAACAGGCTCTTTCCATGAGGATAATTGTTTTGTTTTTTTAACTCGTAACAGAGTATAAAATACTCTAGCTCAACTGCTTATTCAAGGCTTGAACCACTGGAATTTGACTAGGACACTCATCAAAAAACTATCAGTAGTCCCACGAAGCAGCAATAATTATGTTATGCTGTTTTTTACATGTTGGCAAAATAAGTCTTGGTTTGGATTTCAGGGAGTCCTCACTTTTCAACTACAATAATCAAGAGTTATAGTAAACAGAGTGCATGCGTTGCTTTGGCGACCGCTGCTGCTTGATAATTGTTTTAGAATTCTTTTTTTTTCACTTTTAATTTTGTTATGCATTAAGTTGGTGAGTTTATTTTTGAGATATGTGACCAAAGAGATCCCATAAACAAAGTTTTTGAGTAAAAGAGAATTTCATCATTTGAACTATATTTTTGTTTTTATTGTTTTAATTAAGAATCAGAAATTCTAACCTACAGTTCAAACTGGATCGTTTTCAACACTAATTCAGGTGAATATCACACATAAAGAGGGTCCCAAAACTGATTGAGACGGTCCCAAAAGTTAGAGTTGAAGCAAGAAAAAAACGATGATAAGGCCTAAACTTACCGAGGCTGAAAAAGCCAAAGCCAAAGAACGTACACGGGAATACCTTAAGCGTTACACAAAGACGGAAAAACGAAAGGATTCCGTTCGCAAACGCAAGCATGAAGCCCGTCCCTCACAAAAGTACCAAAGTAGTTGAGAGAATTGAACCCTACCGAAGAGTGAATGGTGACTCTCCGAACCCCTTTCATGCAAATACGAGAACTGGGTGCTGATCACCAGTCAGGGATAAAAGGATCCATTCTCAACGTACCCATTAACTTACACAAGAGCGTAGACAGTCTTCCACGCAATATAAATGATTCATTCACTATTCACGTATCTCGATTGGCTGTTCAATGTCTATTCAGTCATCAAAAGAATTTAAATAGAATGCGTCTGAGCTGCATTTAAATATGTCTGCGAAATTGTATACCGAGCAGTTCGGGATTAACAGTTAAAGATGTCCAGGCCGAAAACCCAAGTTTCTTTTCCAAAAAAAAATTTGGCAACAGCCATTTTGCCAATAGGTAACCTGTGATGGCCTTGCAGTGATCATAATTTTCTTCATTTTGTAGTGAATCGTATTTTAAATTTTTTAAATATTTAAATTATTTTTTTCTTTTTTGGTAATGTTTTTGTTACAAAATAGCATCATAATTATGAACATAACACATTTTCTACATTGTAATGTTCCATTTAAGTTCATTTTATAAGTTTTCGTTTAAAAAAAATTTTTGCAAAGGCAATTTGTAAACGGACCAATGTAAATGTGTAAGGTCTAGTAATATCTTTCAGTTACCTAGTCTTTTGGGATAGTGTTTTTTTTCCTCTAAAAAAATGTTTTTTTTTAAAGCAACCATTATCTCTCTTATTTTAGGTATGTGACTTATATTGTTTTAACTAAACATGAGAAAAATTATTCTTACTTTGGTAACATTCTATGCAAGAGAGCTTCTGTTTTCTTCTTCTCTTCCACCAGAGCTACGGTCCGTTCTTCAACCAACTCCTCTAAATTATAAGCATACTTTTCCATCATAGACATCATATTATCCATAATATTTGATTTCCTGTTTTAAAAAAAATTAAAATTATACCAACTATGCACGTATTTAAATTTTATCGATATTTAAAAAGTTAAATAAATTTAATGATTATAGAACTTGATAAAGCAGACAACTTTCACCGCAAAAGTATGAGGTTTAGAAAGCGAGTCGCCAGAAAGCTCCTGCTTGGTTAAAATTCGGAATAAATGAAATAAAAGAAAAAACAGTGTTCATTAATGGATGTTTTACAGAAAATACTGAAATATTCTGCCATAAAACTGAATTCAGGAATTTCATCTCACTGACGTTAGCAGCTGCGACGTAATTCGTGTGACAAGTCCTCGGTTGATTCGATGAGCGCCTCGTAAATTTCGCTTTTTCACGATCTCAGTGAAAGAAAAAAAAGATTCGACAGAACAGATCGTGGGAGGTCATGAGACAGTCGCCACCACAAGAAAACTAGCAACACTTTTACCTTGGACCCAGTTGGGAGCTAAATTGGATGGGTCCTTTATAAATATGCACTGAGGGACCAACATTGGGATAGACAGATTTTTAATATTGATTCTATATAGGGCCAATATCGGTCTTTATGGAACCAGTATAGGTCCCACGTGGCTGAATAATGAATGAAAAATATCGGGTGAATCTGAGAATTCTATATAGGGCCGATATGGGTTGTAAAGTGGCTGTGAAATATCGGGTGAATTGGACAAATCTATATAGGGGCAATATCGGTCTTCATGGGGTGAATATAGGTTCTGTGTGGCTGGATAATGAATAAAAAATATCGGGTGAATCTGAGAATTCTATATAGGGCCGATATTGGTTGTAAAGGGGATGTGAAATGTCAGGTGAATCGTACAATTTTATGGAGGTCCAATATCGGAAAATAACGGCCCTTTAAATATTTATTGAGCAAAGATTCGTGAATATTAGTCCAATGAGGGCTGGAGTTATTTTGCTTCTAGAATAGTTTCACCAAGTAAGAGTGAAAGCTCGAAAACGATACACAATTCAAAAAGAAGTTATATGAGTCCAAACGTTGTTAATACTCTCAAATGAGAATGAAAATTCGGTTAAGATAAATAATATAATTTTTTTTTTAGCTTACATGCCCTCTCTCATTTTTCTGAGCCTCTCCTTTAGATGATGAAAGTCGGGTCTATTTTCAGGCCTCTCGTCCCATGCGTCTTTCATGGCATTCACTACATAGTCCTGACACTGCACATCTTGGAGGGGTGGTCTGAAGGGTTCTTCATCACCTTTAGGTTCACGTTTTACTTTCGAGATGATCTCTGCAATAGAGATATCATAACTTATTTAAGATGAAACAAAACGGAGACATTTCAAAATAAAGGGTATATTTTTTTTATTATTATTTTATAATTATTAAACAGTATTCCACACTTTTACACAACTCCCTGCTCAACAGTCCCTGCTCAAATTATTAGACGCACTATAAAAGTCTATGAAATATCTTAATTATCAGGTGATTCCATACAGCTCTACTTCTTTGTACTTGTTTACAATCGTGTATCAATTGGTTAACATTGTAATGCAATACATTAAAAATAAATACAAATAGGAAGTATATAAAAAATCTCCACCATAAAAACCCATTATATGTATGCTTAAATATAAAAGTATTGCCTATAAGCTTGTGCAAAACATGTAATTATTAAAAAAAAGCTGCAGTGCGTCTAATTAATTTGGTCTAATTGGGTATAATATAAAAAAACACAACTACTTCCACTTAGTAGGAATAACATTTACCATGACGCAATGCTAAAGTCTGTGCCACTATCCACATAAATCAATTATTAATCAAAAATCGAATATCAATTACTTTTCTTTATAATGCAATAAAATCTGGTGAGCAGCTATTTAAACGATCAAACACTTCGTTTGTTTATTTGTGGCTTGAAATGTTGGCTTGTGAAACGTTGTTTCACACGATTCGGCAATGTAACCACTATTTTTTTTATATTTCAGCAGTACACTTATTTACATTATCATACACGTTTAAAAATTTGACCATCTAAACATGCTTTTTACTAATTCAACATTGTTTTCCACCTTTCTACATAATCTAAAATTACGCTCATGTTTTTGTTTAATTTGGCTGCATACTGCCTCGCAATAAAAAAATTAATGTAAGCAACAAAAATTTCAAAATTGAGATATTTATGCCTTGCAATTGAAAAAAATAACGTAAGTGCTTCACGACTGATTCTGAGAAAAGTGGTTTTATAACTAATTTTTTTTCTATTACTAATGTTACGAACACTAAAATAGAATGCCAAAAACTTATAAAAAAATTTCTTTTTTTAATTACTTTTTTGCAATACGTAGTTTGCCATACAAAAGATGCCAAATATATAAAAATCTCAAATTGGAATTTTTTGTCGGTTATGTTGATTTTTCAATTGTACGGGAAGTATATATTTGGTATTTTTGTATAATAAGCAATCTATTGCACGACAAAATAAACGTCACTGCGAGCAATTGTATTCTTTTTCTTCTTTCTTTTCCTTTTTTACATAATTCGAAGTATTATTAAGTTGGAATGAATTTAACTGAAAAAAGATGAAAGGTTTTTACATTCACTCAAACAAACATAAAATAAATCACTAACCTTAATGTTTCGAAATATAGAAGAGAAAAAAACACTGTTTCGAAAAACAGGTGATAGCCACATTCGCAGAAATAATTACTCCTCTAATTTTAAATTTATTTGTTTTCAAAATTAGAAACAAGATGACATAGTTTTCTATTCACGTAGTATTTTTATTGCGTTTAAAACTTTTGATTACCCAATTTTAAAAATATATATATTTTCAAAAAAGCATGAGCTATTATACTAAACTATCGGGATCCCTATTTCCCAGACTGCGGCTATCGAATCAGAAACCCGAACCTGTCGGGAAAAAATAAATGCTTATTCCGATAAAAGTTTGTTTTTGTGCCTGATTTCGTATCATTCGTCCTGATTCGTCCGCATTTATTAATTAGCATATTGGAAGTCAATCCCACGAGCCATTAAGGTCAAGTATTAGAAAGTGAAAATCCGATCATTAGCTCGAAAGTTATTCCATTTTGTTTCGGACGCACTGTACATCCAAAATTTGTAATACTTTTACATTTCTTTTACAGTTTTAAGTAACTAAAACTATTGAGCAGTAAAATATATTTCTTTATTTTGAATTCTAAATTCATCTATATACTTTAAATAGGATATTCATTACCCCCAGGTGAAATAGAAAAGCGATTTTCGAATTTTCCAACACGCCTATCCAAAGAAAAAGTTCATTTTTGAGCTTTAAGTGCCAAAACGTGCAGAAAAGTTTGATTTAAAGCGGATTTAAATAAAAAGATATGTTTTATTTGCTATGTAATTTAGTAAACCTTAACAAAGTTTGAAAACCTATACTCAAAGGAAAAGATAAATTTCAAATAAGATTTGAAAGAATTTTTTTAAACTAACTATGCCCATGAAATATCTTCAAAGTACACAAAAGCTTCCATTCGAAACTTACCGATCGATCCGCACTCCATTACTGACCCTCAAATATATTTGAACAGAAGTGCTTTTCGTAGCTTTCTCACAACTTTTTCAAAAGTAATAAAAAAAAAAAATTATATTTTCCCCTTCCTTTAAGAGGTTTTTATTTAATAAGAAAGTTTACTTAAATGTAAAGGAAATTTAAACCTATCGGTTAGAACCTATTCAAGCAAAAAAAGTTGCATCCTAAAAATGAATGATGTTTTCAGAAACAATTAAAATAATTAACAGAAGATAATAAAAAAAATACAGTTAGCTGCGATTTACTTACGAAGCAACTTTCAGAATTAGTTAGAAACTATGTCAACAGAGGGCACTTCTTAATAAACTTAATTTCATACAGCTTTGTTATACCATTTTGATTAGTTTGGAATGTTAACAGAAATCAACAAAAATCGATAGGTTTGCTGTTATCTTTCTACCTTTTTAAGCAAAGTTCTCTGTCTACGTAGAAACATAAATATCAATTCACTCAAGGTTACGTGGTCTCTTAATTACGTGGAATGGCTCAAACTCACTGTGGTCGAGGGAATTCCATAGTGGCAAGAGAGTCAACGGAATCAAAAGTTTCTGTTTTGATTCGAACCTTAATCTTAAGAACAGAGAATTACTAGACTTTTTCCTCTATGTATATTCCTCGTCTATACTTCTTCGGTAAGTACCAACTTCTACTCGGTAAACAAATTGTCTAGTAAACAAATCTAGCCTTTTGTCTAGTAATTGTCTAGTAAACAAATTGTCAACCTACATCAAAGCTCAAAGTGCAATGGAATTGTAACTTCACTCAAGGTTACGTTGTCTCTTAATTACGTGGAATGGCTCTAACTCACTGTGGTCGAGGGAATTCCATAGTGGCAAGAGAGTCAACGGAATCAAAAGTTTCTGTTTTGATTCGAACCTTAATCTTTAAAACAGAGAATTACTAGACTTTTTCCTCTATGTATATTCCTTGACTATACTTCTTCGGTAAGTACCAACTTCTACTCGGTAAACAAATTGTCTAGTAAACAAATCTAGCCTTTTGTCTAGTAATTGTCAAGTAAACAAATTGTCAACCTACATCAAAGCTCAAAGTGCAATGGAATTGTAACTTCACTCAAGGCTACGTGGTCTCTTAATTACGTGGAATGGCTCTAACTCGCCCTGGTCGAGGGAATTCCATAGTGGCTAGAGAGTTAAGCAGCGGAATCAAAAGTCCCTAGTTCCATCCGAGCCGGAATCAACCACATATTCTTTCAGTAAAAGCAAATTGTTAAATAAAGGAAAAAGATGCTAAAATCGCATTTCAAATAGATTTTTTTTTTCATCTGTAAATAATTTATGACTATTACAAATTAATTTCAAACTAAGACTATATTCAAACTCATTTCTGATTAAATTAATTCTGATCAAGCCATAAACAATTTATAATAAGTGAAACAATTTCGTAACTTTCATATCCTATTCCTTCTAGAAAACTTAAACATTATTCTTCTATTTCATATTGAAACTTTAAATGTTAAAACACTTTAAAAAAAATATTGACATGAAAGATAAAAATATTAAAATAAATTAATATAACACTTTATACAAATAAAGCACATCTCATGCAGTATTTATTCTAAATATATTCAATGAAATTTTCAAATACATAAATAATGCTAAAAAATACAAAAATTTAAAAAAAAATCAACCCATACAATAGAATCTAATTTGCATACAGACGAGTTTCATCTTCATTCTATTCCATTTCAAAAATATTCCTTAAAAAAAACTCCTTTCAAAGAAAAATCTATTTTTGTCATCTTGAAATATTATTTTTTTATTCAATGGATGATAGCTTTTCAAATTTACGTTCGTATAAACCATAGTAAATATTAAATTAATTTCAGTTCTGTTTAATAATTAATCGTCCATATTTTTTTTCAAATGTTATAAAAATATTAATATTAAAAATATCTAAGATATTAGCATTTTAAATATATTTAGCTTCGATGTATTAAATTTTTTTTTAAATAATTTCTTTTCCTATTTTTTAACGCTTTAGATTTGGCAAAGAGAACTGTTTGTAGTTCTTTAAATGTCGACGGCTTATCTTTACTCGATCTCAGGTATGGATTAGTCTCGAACTGTTCGAAGCGAAGACCATACAAGATTTTCAAAAGCAGTCGATCTGTATTTGAAAACCACAAGGAAAATATATATGAAGTGAAACTATTTTCTGTTTATAATCATCAACTAAGATTAATAATAATAACAACTGTACATGTTTAGAAACATATTAAGATGGTAAAGTGCCTGCGATCTACTTCATAAAATTATGGACTGTGCCTAGCGTGCTAAACTTAGAATTACAGCTTCTTCCTTGCGACTTGTTCTGCTTTAGATTTTGATTGGCTGTCGTCGATCACATGAGTAAAATGCCGCCATTTTGTTGACTAGTTTAAACGGCAAAGTATCATTGCACCCGATCTGTTATTTTTTTCGTCTTTACTTTCACTTTTTTTTGTTTTATACTTTTAAACTTATAATAACTGGTTGTTGCGCATTTAGGTGTTCAAATAAGTTAAATTTTGGATAAATTAATTTTTATCTTTCATGTCGGAGATCGGAATGAAAAACGACGGAAAATTTGGCTGCATGGCATTCGCAGAGATAAATGGAACCAAAACGAAAACAGCAGATTGTTTTAGGTAAGTTTGAAATTCATTTATTTATTTGTTACTACTTTTACATGATACTATTTTATTAACTTTGTAGAGTAAATATGTTTCGCTTCCTTTTCAATTAGAGGTTTAAAAAATTCGATTGCATTAAATATATTCACCTGAAAGAAATTAAAATAGATTGCAAACGTCGTTTTTAACTTAAATATTTTTTTCGTCAGAAAGCTTCAAAAATAGAATTTTAATAGCATTTAAAAAATTGAGTGTTTTTTACCAGGATTAAGAATAAATTAGCGTATTATATTAAATATTTTTCAAACGAACAAATTTAAAATTTCTACATTTTAATAAGATAATCTAATTCCAATTCGCTATTCCAATTCGCTAATTCCAACTCGCTCTTAAATTCGCTATTTTTTACTAATTTAAATATTGCATACAATAGAGTAAAATTTTGTAACTGTAAAATTTTGTAATAAATTTGTTATATTTATAATATATTCAGAATTTAAATAAGGATTCTCAAAGGAATATTTATTAATTTTTGAACAAAGCAGAACTCATATATTTTGTTATTAAATGTGACAAAGTTCCCATTTACTAATTATTGGCTGTTTCATCACATGCCTTAATTTAAAAGTATCTAAAAAAACTGATATCATTTTAATTATATATAACTATATTTAATCCTTTGAACCTCATAAAAAACTGACAGCAAAATATTTCGAAGAGTTTAGTCGAGAAGTTAATCATAAAAAAAAATTTATAGCATATTATGAAAGACGAAATGAGAAAGTTTTAACTTATAGATAAAGTATTATTTTGCCTGGATGGCATAAAAAGAAAATATGTAATTTCAGAAAGAAAAAAAAATAGTTAAAAGAAGAAAATATTTCAGTTATCTCTAAGAATATGAAAATATTAATCAATAAAACGTCGTGTTTAAGAATAGAAACTCAGTATTTCATCATTGAAAGTTGCAGTCACAAGAGAGTTGCAGTCACCAAGATGGCGGTTTGTCGCTACTTTATCTTAAGTATCCAGGGCTTTAGACTAGCCCCTTTATTTTCCATTTTCTAAACTGATCACAGAGTGTCTTTATAAAGTACGCGAGATTTTTTTTTTTAAAAAACAGTAATTACATTTTAAAAAGACAAATCTGCAATGCGTATCTTAACATAACGTCATTTATACAGGTTTATTTAGTTAATTTTGTGCTATTTTCAAAGTCAACTGTAAGATAGTGCTTTGTATAATGGTATGGAATAGCTAAATTCACGACAGTATAGCAATAGACTTAAGTTAATTGCTGTCGTTTCTAGAAATTTAAAGGCTTCCTGATCACTTATTGTTTATATTGTTAACCAACGTAAAGCTAAATTCATACATGAAAGAGGTACTTTACCTCGAGGAGTTAAATCGGTGCTTCCAAATGGACTTTGCCTCGCTATTACTCCAAATTACTTATTGTTGTTAAAAAACTTAAAGCTAAATTATTTATACACAAAAGTAGTACTTTACCTCTAGGAGTTAAATCGGTGCTTCCAAATGTACCCTGCCTCGCTATTACTCCAAATTACTTATTGTTTTTTAAAAACGTAAAGCTAAATTATTTATACACAAAAGAAGTACTTTACCTCTAGGAGTTAAATCGGTGCTTCCAAATGGACCTTGCCTCGCTATTATTTCATGCAGAATGATGCCAAAAGCATAAACGTCTGATTTAGGACTGCCATAACGGTTCTCCGTGGGAAATCGCAAAAGTTCTGGTGCTTTCCATAAAAGATCTATGGGCAAAATAAATATATAATAAGCATTTAGATTGGAAGGGATTGGAACAATAATAAGACTCATTATTTCCAAAATTGATATTTTTACATGAAAATAGTCCTTACTGTTGTTTCAACATCAGTATTTCACAATATAGGAAAATATTTATTAGACAACAATGTAATACACAAAATCGTAGTGTTCTTCAAAGAAGAAAAAAAAAGACATGCTATAGATCATAAATTGTAGCTTTTACGAATTACATTGAACACAAGTCAGTCATGCTACAAGGATATTGGATAAAATAATGGAAACACTTCTACTAATTTTTTCAAATTTCTCAAGAAAGACTTAGAAAATTATAAGACTTCAGAAGTGTTTAGAGGATGCGATTTCTCATACATATCCATAAAGTGTAAACTTGCATTATCTTAGTATAACTGCTAAAATGTTCAATAAAGCTAAACAAAACTTTCAGAGTAATTTTAATTTAATAATAAAAATATATCCTTTTGAAATTACGTTAAAAATTACTCAAGATATGAGTATATAAAATAATTTTTTTATACTATTGCGCCTACCCGAAAAAAAAATTTTTTCTTCTTAAATTTGTTTTTAATCGTATTTGGTAACTTCTAAAAAAAGTCCGATTTGAATATCTTGAAAATTCAAAAAGTTACCAACAATTTTTTAAATAGTTTTTGTTGATTTGGAAAGAAAACTCAGAAAGGTAAGGGGTTTTCTGCAAATTTAATTTTGTATTATTAAACGAGAATTATTAAAAATTACATGAGTATTATATAGAACCACATCTATTACCATACCGTCACATTTGACTGTGCAGACCATGATTTTAAATTATTATCATCCGTTATTAAATTTCGTTTTATATTGCAAAATGATATTTCTGGAAAACCCCTTATCATTTAGACCTTTTAATGAAACGGTACAAAAGCCACTTTGAAATTTGCTAGAAATATTTAGACTCTTTTCATAAGTTATCAAATACGATTCTAAACAAACTTTTGAAATCATATGTAGCGCAATTTTTAACGATTTTTTTTTCTTAAATTTTAAGATGATATTTTTATTGTTAATTACAGTAACTCCAAAAATTTCGTTTAAATTTAATTGAATATTTGAGTAGTTATAGTAAGTCAATGAAATTGGTTTCACAGTTTGTTATATTAGTTTGTGCAGTACATTTGCATATAATAACTTACGTAATTGACATAAGCTACAAGCTTATATTATTTGGTATAAGATGTTCAAAAACATTACTTTTCGTTCGTAATTTATTGCCTGTCCCACAAAGCTCTAAGAACTTTGAACTTTATTGATATGTATGACAAATCGCATAATTTAAACATTTCTTAAGTTTTAAATTAATTCTCTAATTATTTCTTGAGAATTGGGAAAAAATGAGTTAGTATAGAAGTGTTTAGATTATTTTGTCCAACCCCTGTATTTGAGAATATAATTATTTTGCGTGTAGCGTTTGTAGCGTAACGTATATTAAAACTGTAGAGTAGTTATAAGGGGGAAAATATAAAAAGCAATCTAAGTACATATGAAGAGCAACTAACTTTTGTAAAAAAAATTTTAACTATATAAAAAGGAATAATAAACCTATAGTAACAGGGCTTTTAAAGAGCAAAACATTCAAACACTTTTTAAAGTAAATGTAGTCTGGGATGAAGTTTATAAAAGGAAATTGTGAATTTCGTATCATCTGATGTGGCCCCAAGAATGGTTTATACAAAGCTTATATATATATATATATNTTTACTAAAGCAAACTTAGGGAAGTTTTTATTCTTTTGAAAGTAATTATTCATTTGCTTATTAATTTGATACATATGCTTTCAAAAAGCTTATAAAATTAATTAATTTATACTGAATTTTAGGCAAAACTATTCTATTCTAATAATTAGAGTGCAGCTAAAAATACGAATATATATATATATATATATTTCTTATTTTAGCGTGGCGACCGAAAATGCCTCGATGGCATATCTCAATGCCTCATTTGGCGTCAGCTAACTTGTTCGAATCTGACCAATGGTAGAGCGCACATTTCTTTTTCTAATATAAGCTTTCGGCGGATGCACAGCCTTCACACATTCTGAACTTGTCGATGATAGATCATCAATTTAATTCCAATATATGAGGTTCATTATAAGAGATAGAGCAGACGTCCCCCAAGCAGCTGTGTTTTTCAGGAACCAATCGTTTTAATGGACGTGGCAAAAACGCTAGATAATTATAGTTTGTCTATAGATAGAACTCTCCTTGCCACGAAGTCTGAGGCCGTCTGCTGCTATGGAAACAAGAAAAAGCCCATTTCAAAGAGGGGAGTCTCGTTCTCCCCTGATTCCCTTTAGCGCCAGCCCAAGTCAAATCCTGCCTTAAATGATGACCGAATACCCCTAATCGAAATAGTTGAACCTCGTAATCATAGTCACCGCCACCACTCCAGACGATTGGCTAGGGGAGTTCTTTACAGAGGCAAACTATATGTCCCTAGTCAGCTCCCTACAAACTCTCTCCCCACCCAACAATAGGACAGATTGAACGAGCATCTTTCTGGTGCCACTGTCTTTTTATTCTATTTCATAACCGTCGTTGAACAGTCGACTCAATTTTTTGGATATACGACTACTAATGTTCAACTCCGTAGCCTTGCAATTTTGAACCCAATCCGGAAGACGAGGGAGTTCCTAGATCCCTGGAAATTTGCCTTCGTGGGGGACTTTTTTGATGAAACTAACCCGCATTTGCGTTACATGGAGAGGAAAACCACAAAAAACCTCCCACATTTAGTCTCACGGCAAGAGGAATCTAACCCATGATCCGTTTACCACTGCGGATATTTCACGTCAAATCTGTGGTGGGTGCAAGCCGGATCTGAAATTCGATTCGACCAACCATCACTGAGTTTTCAAACCTAGTTCACCTTATTGGAAGGCGAACGCTCTATCTTCTGAGCTATCGCAGCTCTGATGCCGCTGTTAAGTCGGTCGGTAATTGATAGCACCAATTCCAACAGTATTGCGAAAGAATTCATGACAGGCTGGAGCGTTCTGTTTTTAGTATATTAAAAACTTACTTCTATAATATTGGTGTTCAGCAACAGACCCTGTCGTTTCAGCCGTACTCCTTAGTTCATGTAGACCAAAATCAGTTACTTGCAAAACCCATCGACTCGTGACAACGCAGTTGGAAGACTTCAAATTGCCGTGAAATTTAATGTCACTTTCGCACAAGAAAGTCATGCCCTGAAATAAAAGCAATACAGTGTATTGTTCGGAATATCTAAGAAGAATGTCAATATTAGAAAAAAAGGAACATATTATTTTGAAAAAAGAGAAAATTAATATCTTACGTACTTTTAATAAATCAAAAACTAAAGATGCAATAAACATGTTATCTAGTTTCATGTCATCATTTTCCAAGATATCCTAAAATAAATATAAAAGCATGTTTACTATGAAGTAGAGTATTGTAAATTGAAAACACAATTAAATATTATTTCTTTTTCTTAATGATATGCTGTCTTTGCATCTCTAGTAAATCCCAGATCTCTTTTAGAGTCAAAGCGTGATTATCTAAGGGTCACTTAATGACAATTAGTGATCTTGACTTTTTTGGTTCTATTGTGATTAGGAGATTGCTATTTAGGGGCCTTCCATAAATGATGTCAAACTTTTCTTTTACTATTTTTGAACCCTCCCTTCTCTAATGCGTCACAAAGTGTCACACTACCTCCTACATCCCTGACACGTGTCGCGTTAAATAATCTAAACATATGACAGCAGTTGTGAAAACATAGCACGTGTTATGGATCACTTTATAAATTACACTTTTTCACGTTAACTGAGTTTTTATATGTTAATAATAATGATTGGATATGCATTTACTTGGATTAAAAAGATTTTTAAAAAAATAAACAAACGATACAAAAATATTTATTTTAATGATTTTAAATATTTATTTCTTCAAAATGCGGTTTATCGAACAATTTTGCACTCTATTCCTAGTCAAAAATTGTGACAATTTAATGAATCCTTACATTTATGAAATAACAAATTTTAAAATGAATTAACTTGTTTTTATCATCATCAATCTCTTGAAGGCCCTGAAAGCACAAATCATTTAGAATTGCTATAATTTCTGGTCTGTCACTAGAATAATATTTTTTTGAAACTAAAAGTTCGAATTGTATTATAATAAAGGACTTAATAATAAATTAATTTTTAAAGATAAATGTTAAATGATCTACTTTTTTCGACGCTCTTTTTCAGATTAATATGATGTGAGTAAAGTTAATTTTTTTTCGAAACTATTAAATTCATATAATCTTCTTTTTAAACAACAAAACTATTCACTTAACGTTTTGCTTACGGCTGGTACAACATGTGATGGAACAACATGGAACACCGTAAGCAAGGGTTAATTTAACTTTTTGCTTACGGTGCTTTGTATAATAAAGCCATTCTGCTAAACTTATTGTACCAGCCGTAAGCAAAAGTTTAATAACTTCCTAAAATTAACTCAAGTTTTATCTTAAATTAATTTAACTTTTTGCTTACGGTATTTAGTATAATGGAGCCATTCTGGTAAACTTATGGTACCAGCTGTAAGCAAAAGGTTAATAACTTACTAAAATTAACTTGATAACTCAGTGACTTACTTGCAAACTTCCTTTGGAACAATATTCTGTAATTATTTCAATACAGTTTTCTTCTACGCAAGCACCAATGAATTGATTGATGTTATCGTGGTGCATTTCTCTCATCTAAAAATAAACTTTAAACTTTAAACGAGATTCGCATAAATAAACAATAAAATACTGAATGTGAATAAATTAACAAACGAGAAGCCTGGTACTAACGAACTGAAAATAAACGAAGCATTTAATTCCGAAACCGATGAACTGCATAAACGAAGTGTTTGGATATAAAACTAATAAATTGAATAAAATAATTAATCAAGGAGTTTAGTTTCGAAAACCATTGAATTGAATAAATGAAGTTTTTGATCTCAAGACCAATTAAGTCAATAAACGAAGAACAATACTTGGCCAAATTATTAGACGCACTGTAAGATTCAAGGTAAAATCTTAATTATCAGGTGGTACACTACATACAGCTTTATTGATTTCGCGTAGCTGAAACCGGTTTGCACTTACTTACGTTCGTGTATCAATTGGTTAACATTGTAATGAAATATGTTAAAAACAAATACAAATAGGAGGTATATGAAAAATCTCCTTAACAAATACCCATTACATGTATATTTAAATATAAAAGTATTGCCTATAAACTCGTGCAAAACATGTCATTATTAAAACACTACAGTGCGTCTAGTAATTTGGTCTGATTATTATAATATACTAATATAATACCTGATACAATAAATATTCTATTTTTATATATTATATATCATCTAATTTATCCTATCGTCAATTTTATATTAATCGTCTAATTTAATCAATTGACGCACGAACGTAAACAAGTGCAAACCGCGATCAAAAGATTTTTCGGTTCGATTTCAGAGGGTAGAAAATGAAACTTGAAACTGAGAATATCTTGCAAAATGCAGCAGAGCTATACATGAGAGTGCAATAATTTCACCGAACCCAGATCACTATCCGCACATATGGACTCGCAAGTATTTCATTAAACATATAAAATGATTGGCGTTTTCACACGCTGTGAAGCAACGGTACGCCGAAATGAATTGTGGTTGAATGAATTGTGAAAACGTTGAATAGAACAATGTGAAAAGCACACTTTTGTATAATACGAGGCGAAAATTGACATGGTAAAAAAAATCTCATTTTCGAGAAGGGAAAATTAAGCATTTTTTAAAAACACCCAATGGAAAAAGCACCTCTAAGGGCTTTTAAAAAACGAAAATCAAAAATAAGCAACCTTTAAGCAATTTTTAAAAAGGCTACGCCCATGTAATAGTGGAGAATTGTTTCACCATTTTTATCAATTATAATTATCATTAGCCAATAGTAATGGTTAGCAAAATAAAAAATAAACCACCATGACTAACTTTTGATCTTATGATCGGATCTTCACGTTCTAGGACTCCATCTTAAGGATTCAGGGGGTGACCTCAAATGTGACAATTTATTAGTACAGACGATATCTTAAGTTACAAAATCAGACACAAAAACGTACTTTCCATGAATAATTATACCTTTGTATCGACGAATTACAGATTTTTGACCCCCAAAATATAAGGGTTGCCGTAATCTGTGAAATAGGGTTCCCATGGTTTGGTCAGAGGAGCGATTCACAATTTGGATCCCTTAATAATAATGTTATTTTTTGCGTATTTTTTCATATCTCGAGAACTTTTTATGCGAATCGAAAAATTTTTGCACACAATTATAATTCGTTTACCCAAAGATAATGTCATGAAAAATATAACTTCCAGGAAATATTTATTATTTTTTTGTTATTTTATTAAATAATGGTAACAAAAATTGAAATGTAAATTATTTAATTTTTACATAATTTTAAAGTATGTAATTTTGCATGGCAAAATACAAAATTTGAGCGAAATCGATCGAATAGTTTTTGAGAAATCGAATTTTAAAGAAGACGTATTTTTAAAATTCGATTTTGCAGGAACTATTCGATCGATTTCGCTCAAATTTTGTATTTTGCAATGCAGAATTACATACTTTAAAATAACATAAAAAGTTTAGTAAGTTGTGATCTAAAATTTTTTCGACTCTTATTAAAAAAATAATGAATATTTATTAAAACTTATATTTCACGTAGAATTTTCTTTAGATAACAGATGTTATAATTGTAAAATTTGCGCAAAATAATACCAAATAGTAAAATTGACATGAAAGGGGCAAAACGTTGGACCACTCTCCTTATAAAACTATGGGGACCCTATTTTCCAGTTTCCCCAATTGCGACTACCCGCTATATTTTGGGAGTCAGGAAACCGAATCCTGTCGAAAAAAAGGTATGTATATTCAGAAAATGTACGTTTTTATATCTGACTTCGTAACTTCATATTTCAACTTCCGTCATCACTAATTAATTATTTAAATTGAGTCCCAAAACGTGAAGATCCGATTATTAAATCAAAAGTTATTCGGGGTTCTCAGTTATTTTTTTTGCGCACAGTACTTCTTTAAATCCATTAAAGAACTTTTTAAATCCATTAAAGAAGTAGTCTAATTAAAAAATTATTTTTAATTGGAACCTAACTGAAAAATTAAATGCTGATCATAGATTTTATAGAAATAAATTAGAAAAAGTTCAAAACCACTTAATCAAAAAGACAATACACGTGTACATAGCATATCATTTTAGAAAGACGAACTTTTCATTTATTTCAACAACATAACATATTTTTATGGAAAAAATTTAATTTTTTGATTTATGAACAATGTAACGCCATTTCAAAACAGAGTTATAAAAATAAAAAAAATTTTTAACTCTAATTCTTAAATAAAATAATAATAAACCAAGCATTAAATTTGATATTTAATCTCAGTTCATAAAAAATAATCCATTACATTATAAAAATATGAGAAAAACTTTCAAAATTATTATCTCCGTTAAAATTAAATAACCTATCTTTTTGGAAAGAAATCATAATTCTTCTTCTTAAAAAAATCAAGAAAAGCTTAAAATGTATTTCAGAATTTAAAAAAGATAAGCATTCACTTTTTCAACTTATGCATTTGCTCAGTCTTGTTTAGAAAATAAAAGTCATAAATTTTTCGAAAATTTTTTAATTTAGAAAATTGAATATAATCCAAAAAAAGGAGAAAAGGTTTTTTCCTCGAAGTTCGCAAACGTTTTGTTTCTTAAATATTTACAATGAAAATTCTGAATTCAATTAATTAAGTTATTTTGAAAATAGATATAAATTTATCTCTGGTGAAAAGTTTGTTGTTGACAAAGGATTTAGTTTAATAATAAACAAAAAATTAATTTTTTTGAGGTTATGAACTCAGTTAATAAATAGACATATTTTTTTAGTGTTTTAATTTATTCGTTTGGGAAATGCTTTTACGAACATAAAAACAATTTTTTTTATTTAGAAAGACCATAACAATATTAGTTTATAACTAATATTAACTCCCTAGTGGTAAAAAAATTATTTTTTATAATATATATATATATATATATAAATTCAAAATGAAGAATAAAACAAAGAAAAATTATAGACATATGAAAAAAAGGGGGGTGGGAAATAATAAGTAAAAAAAATAACAAACAACATATTATTTAAAATAAAAAATAAAAAATGTGAAATTTTAATTAAAAAACCGGAAAAAAAGATATAATCTTTTCTTCAGCCCACACGATTATATCCGCAAAACAGAGTGCTTTCTGATATTGTATCAATAAAGCCAAAGCAAAATATATTAATACAATAGTGTGAGGAGCACTCAAAAAAA